GCCGGATGCCACATCACAAGAATTGGCAGACTGATCACCTGCCTGTTCATACAACCCAATGGCTCTTCAAAGAGCAAGCAAGATGAAAATCTGCTATGGCCAAGTCTGGGTGACACTCCTCTTTCAGCTAAGAAGCCTTGCCTGTAAAAAGGAGAGCATGAATGGGGAGCAAAGTGCCTCCTGGGTCTTCGAGGGCACAAAGTTGAGCTCTGTGGGCCATAGTAGTTTAACTCCAATTAATTTCTGCTAATAATTGATTGCAAATAGATTAACACCCAACAAAGGGGAAAATATGTTGGCTCCCTAGTTTACAAAAGAAGCAACACCTTCAATTCATGGACTAGATGAGAAGCATGCAGAAGAAAAAGAGAAAAGCTAAGTAATGCAGTAAATTAATTAAATTAGACAATGCCTGGTCAGACTTGTTTATTGTAAGTACAGAAACGTTGGCCAATATGAGCAGTAAATGTATTTATTGAAACCTAAATTCACATCCCAAGCGAGGCTGGTGAGGACACACAAGCCTCCCTGGCAGGCACTGCAAGCTGGGGTCGGTCCCACCAGCCATCTTGGCCCAGGACCAGAGGTTTGTGTTCAGCAGTGTTTGGGGGAAATTTCTGGAGTTGTCAGGCTGATTCTAATTATCAGAAGACGTGTCGAAGAGCAGGACTCTTACCCCTCTGAGGACTGGTGGCTCATACAGAGTTGGAAGCCTATATCGCCCACCATCCCAAAGAAACTTCAAAAAATACAGTATTATAGGGGTCGCCTGGGTGGCTCAGTCATTAAGCGTCTGCCTTCAGCTCAGGTCATGATACCAGGGTCCCGGGATCGAGCCCCGCATCAGGCTCCCTGCTCAGCAGGGAGTTCTGCTTCTCCCTCTCACATTTCCCCTCCTTATGTTTCCTCTCTTTCTGTCTCTCTCTCTCTCTCTAACAAATAAATAAAATCTTTTAAAAAAAATACAGTATTATAATGATTTTGATTAAAAGGCTGATAACCTAAAATAAATCCACGAGTGGATTTAGGTGCTACAGCCACCAACAGCAAGAGGGAACTCACTCTATAAGAAAACAAAGAAATAAGACTCTTTTGACAAAGATAACTTTCTAGCAATTTCTCTTTGGGTTAAGCAATCCATTCCAAGATGAAGGGAGAACAGAAGTGTGGAAAAGTTCAATGCCTACATTAACAGGATTTATATTTGACAAGGTTCATATGTTACCTTCAAAAAGAGGTCAGACTATCTCAATAACATTTCTGTGCTCCAAATAATACTTGACTATAATGGTGTTTGGGTGTTAAGATTTGGGGAGTATAGATTCTCACCCAGTGTAAGATTTAATCTTTCAAATATCAAGAGCACTCCAATATGCTAACTGCTAACTGATGTAAACTCTCCACTGGAGAAACATCAATGATATGTCAATAGCGTGTGAAACGGTAGAATCATGCCTTAGAATCTGGTGATTTACCATTTATTTGGTGGTGACAGGCAGGCAGTGCTGCTACTTTTGCTGGGTGGAGGTCAAGGCACCCAGGTGGACGCCTGGACACCTCCCCTTAAGATGTTGGCTTGAAAGGAATCTCTGAGGCCGTAGATAATTTTCACCTCGCTGGAAATAGACACAGCTTCGGAACTTTCACCTAAGTATTTTGGTGTGGCGGGGGGGGGGGGGGGGGGGGAGTAGTGAGGATCCAAGTTTCATTATCCCAATCCCCTTGCGGATTCCAAAACCCCTCCTGAAACAAAGGGCATGGCGGCAGATCCATCTGCCCTGAAAGAAAAGGAAAATCCGAGGAGCTCAGAGCACAGAGCACCGTGTGTTTTCCCAAGGTCCCAGATGGGTCCCTTGTCCCTTGACTTATGGAGGGTGTCCAACCACTGCAAGGCTGGAAGCCCTGGGTTTTACGATCACCTTAGCACACACCCCTTCTAAAGTGCATTTTATAAATTGAGATGCACCCCCACATGTTTCTGAGCATTCTTTCCTTCCCACAGGGCTTGGAGCCATGGATTCAATTAACTCGAGATCCAATGCAGAATGTTGGGAAAAGAATTTTTTTTTTTTTTTTTTGGTAAGTCTTTTAAAAATCTTCACAAGTTCCATCTGTGTTTATCAGGGTCAGCACCACCCAACTGTCCTTCCGAGACTGGTGTTGAGACCTACAGCTTCGGCCTCTGAGCAAGCAGAGTTTATGAGCCAATGTGGATTTTCACAGAAGTCCACTGTTCAACTGAGACCGAGTAGTCCAGAAGTGTGAAAATTATATTGCGCTCACCCCATAATTTACTTTTGACCCTCTTGTGAAGGACAAGATTCATTGTCACAGGCTGACTTACAGTGTTCACAAATGTTACGTGTCTCTTCTTTAAGGGAGACCCCCACAATTTCACAGCCCCCCTCCTCGCGCCTGTGTCCGAAGCCGTCCCCCCTGCAACAGCGCATGGGCCTCCCCTGTCCAGCCTCAGAGCAGGCTTCATGCACACTGACAGGAGATGTGATCAAGAAGGGAGAAAGAGGGCATGGAGGGACAACTATACTGGTCTGCTGGGTTTTGCAATTGCTTTGGAGCTGTTGCTGAAACCCTTATGTTGCTGGAGTATTTCTAACATCCAAAAATGCTAGATAGGGAGATAGCTGGAGATGTTCCAATGCAATGGCTTACCTTTTTTTTTTAATGAAAAACAAACAAACCAATTTTTTTTAAAGTGAAATTATAGAAAGATCAAAATAGAATTAAACCTCTCTTCAGGCGGTTTAAATGTTCAGTGTTTAGAAAACCCTGAATACTTATCCAAGCCCTAGGTTTTTTCAGAGGTGATTGAGGACCCAGTGACATAGTTCAACCTCTGTATCCTCCAGAGGAGGCAACTAAGGTCCCAAAGGGGCAACAAGGCTCCCCCACGGCCACATAGCAAGGCAGGGGCAGAAGCTGGTGGAGAAGCAGCATCTTTCAGCCCTTCCTCTGCACCCCACGGCCCCTCCCCATCTCTTCAGCAGCAGACTCGCTGCCTTCAAGTAGCCAGATCCTTCAGTGTCTCAATAAAATGGCATTAAATCTCTCTGTCAGCTCCTGAGAGCTGGAAGCCAGGCTGTTTCTAAGCCTTCATTAAATATGAGTGTGTAGAAATCCAGTTACGCAAAAAGACTTCTCAAGGGCCCTAGCCACATCTTAATAACCCCATCCTCCCTTGCATACCATGCATGAATAATAAATGTTTGCTCAATTGAGAAAAATAGAAGGGGTGGCCTCGGCTTCCAGGTTTCCTTTTTGTTTTGTTCTGCTTTGTGCCGTGTCTTGGGCCCCCCGTGCAGAGAGTGTGTTCAACGCACCCGCCAGGTCGTAGCACTTTATTACTACTGGTCTGTGCAAAATGCCCTGATGGTATTTGTTTCTTTATTCATTCTTTCTTGTCCTCTGTCCTACTTTCCCTGATGGCCTACGGCCCCACTGCAGGAAAGCATCTTTACTTATTCTTTAAAAAATTTTTATTTATTTGAGAGAAAGCACAAACAGGGGCAGGTGCAGAGGAAGAGGGAGAGAGAGAATCTCAAGCAGACTCCCGGCAGAGCGCAGAGCCTGACGAGGGGCTCGATCTCCCAACCCTGAGATCGTGAGCTGAGCCAAAACCAAGAGTCAGAAGCTTAACCGACTGAGCCACAAAGGTGCCCTGCCTCTTTGCTTCTTATTAGTCATTAAGTAACAACTTTCTGGCCCTTCCAAATATTTCAGGAATTGTATCTCATGCTCTGCTTAGAGACTCAGAGATCCTAGTAATTTTCTATAAAACTAACTAATCTGTTTATTTTGATGGTGCAAAAGCTTAATAAAGCTAGACTATACCTCCCCTGAATGGTCTCAGTGTTTACAGGCATTTGCAGATTTGTGGTTCTGATTGTTCAAGTCATAAACAAGTAAATGCAGAGAGATGGATGCAGTTTTTAAGAATGCTGCACCCTTTTCTATCTTGGGGCACTTAGAGAAGATTCTTTATTACATGAGGCATAAAGAATTTTAATAAGCGTGGAGGGGCAATAATAAAGGAGACAGTTTTCCTTCAAAGTTGGGCTTGAAGATTTAAAAATACAGGATTTTATCTCATGCTCAAGTATTAATTAATGTCTGATAATTCATAAATAATCCTTGAATATACTTAGTCAATTTTCATTGACTAAGTTTCATTGAATACACTTAGTACAAATTTCACGTACGTATGTGTGTATATGTATTTATATATATACATTTAAATATGTATTTATATGTATATGTATCTTTAATATACTTAGCCAAATTGCCAAATTATGTACATATATCATATAACCACATATCAACAATAATGAGGTGAAATTGTACAAACTACTTCCCTGGCATCAGTATGTATTGGTGCAGCTTTTGGAAAGCAATATGGCAACTTCATTTCAAGAAACAATATTCACAAATTTGATTCAATAATCTTTCTCCTGAGAATTTATTCAGGAAAAGAGCCTATAAGAAAAATTCAAAAAAAGAAGAAAGTTTACATATTCATTATAGAAGCTTACGGTGAAATAAACAAAACCCTATATAAAGAAAGAAAAGTGTGTAGGTTGTGGAAAATGTCATGATGTGAATAAGCATGGTGATCTAACGTGATAGAGAACAATGGGGGTTGCTTTTCATGGGGTGCTCAGGGAAATCCTCTCTCAGGGGGTGGCATTTGAGCAAAGACTGGAAAATGAGAACAAACCCGTCATGTGAAAAGGTTGGGAAAGAACATTTGCAAGGATGTCGACCACAGACATCTTGAGGTAGGAGGACATTGGTGAAGAACAGGGTAGGTCAGCATGACCAGGATGCAAACAACAAAGCAAGAGGGGCAAAGGGTTGAGTCAGAGAGGCAGGTGATGTGATGTGAGAAAAGCATAAGGATAAAAAAAAGTGTGCTATTGAGCACCACTCCATGAGGATTTTACATGCATATTAAAACAAATTGAAAGGAAATATGGGAAAATAAAAAAGGAATTAGGCATGGATTTTTTTTCTTTCTTAAAATTTGTATTAATATTTTTATAATATTATTCACACACAAAAATTAAGATGTCCTTGGTTAAATATACAAAAGATATTGTACCATCATGACATGAAATAAATCTTTCTTCATTTTCAGTCTGCAGAGTTGACATAGATGTTTCTCGAAAAGGGTCTCCTGCATGGTGGTGCTCTCCAAGCTACTAACCACAACAACGTTACACCATGAATCCATCAAACTGAATCTACTTTGAAATTCAGTTCACTTTGGCTAACACTGATAAGCACAATTCTATGGTCAAAAGTTGTTCACAGTGTAAAGGAAGAATTCTAGTAACATGAAATTTTTGTTTTTATTTTAATTGAGACATAATTGCCATAAAACATTGTATTATTTTTAATTGTACAACATAATCACTCGGTACATGTATAATAGCAAAAGTTTAGTTAACATCAATCACCACATAAAGTTAAAAAAATGTTTTTTCTTGTGATGAGAACTTTTTTTTGGTAAGATTTTATTTATTTATTTGAGAGAGAGAGTATGGGTAGGGGTGAGGGGCCGAGGGAGAGGGAGAAGTAGACTCCCCTGCTGAGCAGGGAGCCCGATGTGGGGCTTGATCCCAGGACCCTGAGATCATGACCGGATCCGAAGGCAGACATTTAACTGACTGAGCCACCCAGGCACCTAGCTTGTGTTGAGAACTTTTAAGCTTTACACTCGTAGCAACTGTAGTCACCATGTTGTATTACATGTCCAGGATTTATGTGCCTTTTGACCACCTTTCCCCCATTTTTCAAACCCTCTACCCCCATCTCTGGCAACCACCAATCTCTTCTCTTATTCTATGAGTTCAGTTTTTGTTTCTTAGATTCCACATATAAGTGATATCGCACAGAGTTTGTCTTTCTCTGTGTGATTTAATTCACTTAGACTAAGGCCCCCAAGGTCCATCCCTGTAATCACTAATGACAGGATTTCCCTTCTTTTTTTTTTTTTTTTTGATTGAATAAAATTCCACTGTGTATGTGTGTGTGTGTGCGCAACATCTTTGTCCATTCATCCGTCAGTGGACATTTAGGTTGTTTCCATGTCTTGGCTATTGTAAATAATGCTACACTGAACATGGGGGTGAAATATCCAGAGGTGGAATTGCTGGGTTATATGGTAGTTCTATTTCTAATTTTTTGAGGACCCTCTATACTGTTTTCCACAGTGACTGCACCAATTTACATTCCCATGAAAAACATGAAATTTTGTTTTGTAAAACAGACTGAGATGATAGGCCCTGAATCAGATGACCAGGCTTACCCCAAAACATAGGAAATGGACAATGCCTAAGGCATTTTACATTTTCCAAGGAAACAAAGAATACTTTAATAATCAATATGTTAATATCAATCAATGGAATATACAGTTAATGCTCACAATATCGACGTGCTTACAAACATTTCCCTGTCTCCTTTGCCACTAGGTTGGCTGTTTGACTAAATAGGGCAGACAAATGTGAGTAGCAGTGGGGTGTCACTTCCATCCTGGGGTGACTAGGTGTCTAGTATGATTTCTGTATGGTTTTTTCCCCATCCACCTGCTGGGAGTGAAAGGGTCTGAGATTTCAGAGCGCATGTGGAAGGAACACGGATCTCTGAGTCACTGCATGGATGAGAGCTGCCCACAAGTGCTGCTGGACCCCATCAGACTCTGCCTGAGGATGAGACTTTGACTATGTCAAACCATGGAGAGCTTTGGGTGACTTGTTGCAACAGCCTGCATTTATTGCCCTTCCAAATCATGACATGCTCTGTGAGATGTACCTGTAGAGACTTCCCACTCACTCTGCTTGATTAGAACTCTGCTTTCCTAAAGGATTGAACCCTATGTCTCTTTGGAAGACACCAATCATATTTCCCAATCTCCATTATTATGTCTACAGGAAAAGAGAAACCATAAGATTCTCCAAAATGTAGAAAACAAGACATGGCCTAATATACTTGTGCTGCCAACTTGATGTTGCCTATGAAAATCCAAAGAGCTCTAACTAAATTCCAAATTGTGCCTTAGCTTGGATTTTTGTTTTCCCCTCATGTTGTTCCCTTTGCCTGAAATGCCTTTCACCCTCTTCTCTGCCTGGCACAATCCCACCACGCTTCATGGCCCAACTCAAATGTCAAGTCTTCAGTGAAGCCTTTCTCTAGCCTGCCCCAGGCAGGATTAATCACTCCTTTTCTCTGTCCTTGCAAAGGTCATCTATGACTTCCAAATTGGCACATCCAATGTCTTATTTTCAGTCTATATCCTGTTTGACCTCTTTAGCATTTGTTAGTATTGAAAATACCCCTTAAAGAAATTTTGCTTCTCTTAGTTTTTGAGATTCTACTCGCTATAGATACTCTGCCTACTTTTTTTTTTTAACCATATTTCCCAATTCCTTTCCTGGCTTCATCTATGCCCTCTCCTCAGATATTAATACCTCCCATGGTACACCCTTAGTTCTCTTCTCACTCCACCAATTTACTAAAGACTCTCATCCTCTCACTTGGTTTCCATAACCAGGAATAAGCTCATGACTCAAAGGTTGTATCTCCAGCTGAACTCTTTCCTCAGCTTCAGCCCCTTATTTTCAGCTATTTACTAGAAATCTCTACCTAGATGACTTCCAGCCACTGCACAAAATGGACTAATTTCCTTCCTCCCCAAGCATGCTCTGCCTCCTGTATCCCTTCTCTCAATTAATAGCCTTTCCAGTTGTTAACTCCCCAAGTTAGTAACCCCAAGGGTCCTTGTCCACTCTTCCTTCTTCCTCATTTCCACATATAAGTTATACCAACTCCTACTGAAAAGGTCTTTATGTAAAGAAAAGAACATGGATGGGCTTTGGTGTTAGAGACTTAAATTCAAATTTTGACTCAGCCACTTGTTAGTTATATGACTTGGATCAAATTACTTAATCTCTCTGAGCTTGTAATTTCTTATCTGTAAATTGGGATAATAATTAAATCTGGAACTCTCCAGAGTGTTGCAATCAGTAAATGGGAAAACGCATGAAAAATGCCTACTGTAGGCAGGGCAAATACTCACAATTTTAATCTTTTTTTTCCTAAAAACCCACATACCCACTGCCTTAGTTCAGGACTTCATCACCTCTCACCTGCATTATTGCTATGGTCATAGAAAGAGTCTTTCTGCCTCTCTTCTCTTCCCTGCCCCCATCCCCAAGAATTCTGATTTTCCAAGTGCTGCATCCTGTGTCTTTCTCACGCACAAATCAGTCACATCACTCCCCAGCTGAAAACTTTTGCTAAATTCCCAGAGATAAAACTGCTTATCATCTTTATATCTTCTATCACTTCATCTTTCCCTGACCATATCATGTCTGTTCTACTCAGAGCTCTTTTGATTGCAGGGTACAGATACTCACTCAAACTAGCTTAAGAGAAGTGGAAGTTTATTACAAGGATGCCAAGAGCTCTTGGAAAGGCAATGACATTGGACCAAGTCCAGACCTAAGCAGACTGCCAAGCCCACTCCCCTCCTTCTGGCCCAAAAATAGGAATGTAGTAAAATGTAATAAAATAAATTTTTTGGTCTTGATGCATGTTTAAAACTAAGAGAGAAATCCCTAGGTGCCAGAAATAAGGAACTCAGATTCACAGCAGTTAGTAGGAGATGAAACCCAGTTCAGACCACATAGGTTTCCATGGCTTTGCTGCCTGCAAGATGGGTATAAGATCAAGAGAAGGAGACCAGCACAAGAGGAGCTGGATCCTATCTACCTGCATAAGGTCCTGCATAAATCATAAAGGGCTGAGAAAATAATGACAAAATTCTGCCCATTGGCCTGGGTAAACACCAGAGAGGCTTGCCATTCACAAAGGTTATGCTTGGAAAAGGGATTATGTAGTAGGAGTCAGAGCCCAGGATTAGGCCATGCATGTGCACAGAGCCCAAACTTGGACAGTCTACATGATGCCAGGCGCCCAAGAAGAGAAGCTAAATAGTGAAACCCTCCAGGCCAAGCAGGAGCAAAACCAAAGCCTTCCTGTGGGGCCACTCCTAAAGCCTGGTTCATCTGCATGTCCCACAGAAAGCAGCACCTGCCGAAGAATCACGCTCAAGGAATGATAACAGTGATGCGGGAAATGAGTCTCAGATGCCACAAATGAGACACCTACTGGCCCTAGAACTAGGGGAAAAAACTGAAATCCAAAATAAATATTATCATTAAAACTTTTTTATGTATATGTAACTTTATTAATCACCTCAAATTTCTCTTTTTGTTTATTATCTGTCACCCCACTAGAATGTAAGTGCTACGGTAGTTCACTGCTATCTCACACAGAAGTGGTAGGCACTGAATTAATAACTGAGGAATGAAAGGGGCCTTTAATAAATCTGCTCTTTACACACCAGAGAATAACCCCAAACCAGGCAAATGGCATCTTAGTAAACTTTGAAAAATAATGTTCTTATGTGCTCATAACCATGGATTCATCATTAAAACTTTTTAATGGAAAATTTCAAACACGTGCATTGGAGAAAATAAAGAAGCTCTATATGCCCATCACTCAGTTCTAACAATTATAAGTCCTTAGTCAATCCTGCTTCCTAAAATAATCCCTTTTTCAAGTTCAAAGAGATAAAGAAAAAAAAAAAGGGTTCCATAAGGCAAGAATGGAACCTTACAAAATAAGAGCAATCAGAACAAAAAAACAACCATATTGGAAGTGTAGAAATATAGAGTATAATCATTAATTTAAAAAAAACCAACTTGATGGATAGTTGAACAGAAATTTAACACAACTCAACAGATAATTAAAACTAGAAAATACCTCTGAAGAAATCATCCAGAATCTAGGAGAAGGGGCAAAAGACAGAAAACATAAATAAGAAATCAAAGAGTCTGGGACGCTACGATAAAATGTTTCAGAAAAAGCAAATGGTGGTAGAGAAGACATGAGTCTTCCAAAGCTGGAGACAGAACACACTAGACCCTCAGCAGAATCCACACAAATAAATGGACTCATGGGCGGATGGTCTTGAGAATGAGGAATGCTAAAGACAAGGAGAAAAGTATAAGAAGTGCCAGAGCCACAACTATAAGTTGACCAATATGTCTCACTGGCTAAAAGACCTTGGTGCCATCCAAAATGTATTCTCTGTTTCCATCTTAACATCATCGTTTTTTGTTCCAAGCAGTACGTCAGATTGAACAAGCAACAGCAGCCCAAAACACACTTGGTTTCAGCCCCTCTCATATGATGGAGTTCTCACGTGACAAGGTTCTTGTCAGTGAGACATGGATGCAAGCTCCCACTTCTGAAAAATCTTTTTCCTTTCTGATACAGGCAGTGCCCCCTCATATAATTTTCATGGATACAGGCCAAATTTCTAATTGGTTCCTTTTGTGAAGAGAGTGAGAGACCAGGGAAGAAAAAAAAGAGAATATTCAAAATTAAATTTAAATTGTAATTTTTTATCTTTTATAATGTAATTACCCAGAACAAACATGACAAATTCCTACCATTTGCTAATTCTGGGTAATAGCTACATGGATGTGTGTTAAAATTTTGTCTAGGGGCGCCTGGGTGGTTCAGTAGGTTAAGTGACTGCCTTCAGCTCAGGTCATGATCTCAGGGTCCTAGGATCGAGTCCCCCATCACGCTCCCTGCTCAGCGGGGAGCCTGCTTCTCCCTCTGTCCACCACTCCCTCTGCTTGTGCACATTCTCTCTCTCTGGCAAATAAATAAATAAAATCTTTTTTAAAAATTCAATTCAATTAAAAAATTTTGTCTATAGGGGCACCTGGGTGGCTCAGTCCATTGAGCATCTAGCTCTTGGTTTTGGCTCATGGGTCATGGGATCGAGCCCCAAGTTGGGCTCCACATTCAGCAAAGTCTGCTTGAAAGATTCTCTCTCTCTCTGCCACTTCCCCTGCTCATTCTCTCTCTCTCTCTCAAATAAATAAATAAACAAATAAATAAATAAATAAACCTTTAAAAAAATTTTGTCTATATAATTATTTTTTTTTAACTTTGTAAGATTGAATCCAAAGAAAATAAAAGAATCCCAGTAAAAATGACAGGACTCCTGAGAACAGAAATGAGAAGTTTCCTATAACTGGAGGCTGATCCCCTCTCAGAGTCTCCCATTGGAAGAAGATGCACAGGAACTCTGTTTCCCCCTGTAAGGCCTCTCCTTCCTCATCTCTCCTTCCCACTCCACTCCCCCGTGGCTCATTCTCCCTCATGACTTTGCACACCCAGGTTCAACCCCAACACTCCCTCAGCACCCCCATTCATGTAAACTCATCCTCTCAGTTCCCCCAGATAAGCCCAGCAGTCTCCGGTTCCCAATTTCAGAATCCAGAGCAATGACTGACTTGGCTAGCTCGGCTTCTCAATCCAGGCCACAAGTCATAGAACCCAGAATGAGCTCTAAACTAGCTGCTTTGAAAACAGATATCTACACCTCATCCACTCAGCCATGACCCGGGGCTGGGTTCCCATGGCACAAATGTGGGTAGCAGCCACTGTTGGTGGGTGGGAAGACAATGGTCATTTTCCAAGTACAATTCTCTCAGGTGGCTCCCTCGTCCTGAAACACACCTCCCCTGCCTCCTTCAGTCCCTTCTCTGCCTGGCAATGTGTTCTTGCTCAAGAGGGAGATCAAACTTTTCTAGAAAACCACCCTCACTTCTTGAGGCAGCAATACATCCCTTCTTTATGCTTCTATAAGCACCTTGTACTTACCTCTATATTGTATGCCATTTACACATGGAATCATGACTGTCTGCTTGTGTCTCCTATACTGGACTATGATCTTCTCAAGGGTAAAGACTGCATCTTAGCTGCCCTTGTATTCCCAGTGCCCATCGTTGTCCCTACAACACAGGAGTGACTCAATAAATGGCCACTCCTTGCTCTGTGAGCCACGCCTCCTGAATATTCTCTGTCAGCATCTAATGAGTACTCTACAGAATGCCCAGAATACAGATAATTCGCAGAGTGGTGGACCTTGAGTCCGCCTTCCTCGACATACAGACAGGGAAACTGAGATGCTGGCAGATAAGGGAACTTCACGGGGTCACATGCCTGCTAAATGGGGGCACGGGGTGGGAAGGAAGCCTCCTTTCTCCTCATCCATCAGGCAGGAGCCCTTCACAACACTACCCCTCAAAGGGCAGTGCTCAAGATGACCCACCCCAAGCCCTTAGGTTCCAGTGAACTCTAAGAATGGAATGTCCTATGTGTTTCGTCATGCTTCAATGAGCAGCTTTGGAAGCATGCACGCTTCTAAGACGTGCACTGCTCCACATCACTCCGCTTGTTCTTGATGGAGCCAGGCTCAACGCACACTGGGTCCTCCCTGCGAAAGGTCCAGGCACTTGGGCTTTGACATTTGTGTCTGAGGCCCTCTTTGGCCCCCCCAGGGACAGGCAGAGCAAGGCCAGATGTGTCTCCCTGGCCCTGGCACAGCCCATTGCAGTCTATGACTCCGACCTGCCCCCGCAGCCTGTTCCACGGTGTTGGCGCAGGGCCACGCTTGCACAGGAAGCTCTGTGTATCATTCTGCACTGTGGGCAGGAACCCTGCAAAGCCCTTCCTATGACTGATAAACAGTGTTTGGTTTGGATCAAGAGGAAAAATAAGGCTCTCAGGATAATAGAGGCGGATGGGGAAAACACGGACTCCAAAATGAGAGCAAAAGAAGATTATGGCTTTGAACCACCAATGTGGTAACTAACTCTAGGAACAATGAGCGATGGAGCGGAAATGGCGGCCTGGGGAGAACAAGCTTCCTTCCACCAGCTGCAGGCAAAGCTGCAGGTTCACAGGGGCAGGGCACCGGCCGGCGCTGTGTTGTGGCCGCCGCAGGACAAACAGCGCGGGTCAAGAAAGTGGGGCCCCCTTCAAAGGACCAGATCCCAGGGCTTCAGCGGCAGCGGCTCACAGGGCGGGGTGCTCCCTCACCCGGGTGGTGGCATGAGACCATCTGAAAGGAAGAGAAAGGCAGATGGTTAGGCCGCGCTTACAACGGTTACATCCCTCTCTAACAATAGGGAGGTCGTATTACTTGTTTTGTGGAACCGCTTCCGGTGGGTGGCGGGGGTGGGCGAGCCCCCCTCACAAAGGACATGTGTGAGGCAACGTCCTCACTGTTGGACCGGCTCTGGGGAGGTGTTGTTTTGCTGAGTGAGGGCCTCAAGTTGAGGGAGAAAGGAAGTTGTTCAGAGTGTTAGGAGGGAATTTGAGAGGCCCGCAAGGGGGAGAAACTTTGGGGGGAATAAAAGAAATGTTTGATGGGGAGTTTCTTGTACTCTGAGGGATGGCCTGTGATTTTTCTTCTCTGTCTCTCCAAGAAACCTGACTGAAAGTCTCAGTAACATATATGCCTTTCTTCCTAAGGCCCTGTGGGGATGGGATTTGTTCTGTGGGATGCTGATTTCAGCCTAGGGCGGGTGTCAGGTGTGAGCTGAGCTCTCTGTGGCCTGCCCCAGCTGGGTTATACTTTTAAATAATTTTTTTCTGCAGAACTTCCCATGCCAGCATCTCAGGCCTTTGACAGAAGTGCCAACTTGGCACGAATAAAGGAAAATAATTTCTTCCCTTATCTCCACTCCCAGAGCTCTGCAATTGTAGTTAAAACTAGATGATTTATTAATAATTTAATGCAGTATAGTACTTATTGAGAAATTTTGTACTTTGTTTTTCTCAGTGGCAGACTCTACGGAAGAATAGAGCTGAAAAAAAAGAAAAAAGAGAAGTTGCTAGGCAGGGCTTAGTGTAAAAAAAAACAAAATAGACCTTTTTTTTTTTTTTTTTTTTATCCCTATGGTCTAGGCCCACTGAGGATAAGCAAGCCAGGTTGCCCTAGCGTAGCTGTGGATAAAGTCTGGCAGATGGAAAGTTGAAGAGGGAAGGGATTGAGCAGCGAAGGAACAGGAAAGGAACAGGGCAGGGGCACGGATGTGGGCTCCCTGGGGGCAGGGGTCAAAGCTGGCTGGAGGGCTGGGTTGGAGCTGACTCAGTTGGGATGGCAACGGAGTTGGGGGGCGAGGAACCTGTGAGGCCCCGGGACCTGCCATAGTCAGGACAAGTCAGGTCACGCTGCATTAACAAATACACCCAAAAACGTGGAGGTTTCACATGGCACACAAAGTGAGTCAAGCTGCTCTAAGTTACCAACTTTCCTGGGCAGTTGGCCTCCATGTGGTGACCTGAGGACCTGGGCAGCTTCCATCTTGCAGCTGTGCCTTCTAGAACACATGACTTCCCAGGTCACTGCAGAAGGGGGATGAGGGGATAGATTTCTAATGCCCAGTATGATGGCCACTAGCCACATGTGGCTATTTGAGTTTAAGTTCATGAAAATTAAATATAATTAAAAATTCAGGTCTTCCATGCCAGAAGACTAGTGGCTGTCATAGTGGACGGTACAGATATGGAATGTTTCTATCCTGGCAGAAAGTTCTGTCAGATGGAGCTGGTGTAGAGGGTCACGTGGGCTCTGTGGTCACTCTGGGAGGTGAGCTACATCACTTCTGCCACATCCCATTGGTGGGAGTCAGTCTCTTAACCCCAACTGCACTGTGACACAAGCTGGAATGTATGTGTGCCAGGGAAGAAAATGGAACCGGTGAGTACAGTACCCCATCTCTCTCAGGGACTACAAGGGGATCTTCCTGGCCTGACTAGGAGTGATCCAAGAACGGCCCACCCGCGGTGCATCAGGGAGCTCAGGGAAAGCGCCACAGCAGAGCAGGAGCCACAAGATGGGTCCTCTCCAGTGTCTGGTATGATCCAAAGGTGGAGCCGGAGCAGGGAAGAGGGACATAGAGGCAGAGAAAGCCCCAAAAAGAGACTAATAGCTCATTTTTTTCTAAGCTTGCTGCATAGGGAATTAAGTCAGATTTTATTTGATTTAGAAAAATAAAGAAATTGGGTATTTTTTTCCACTTCAATAGCTCTTGGACAACTTTCATGTTGTGTTTTTCTGGCCCATGAAAGCAAATGAGGAACAGCCAACGTGTTCCTAAGGGTTTGAGCTGGAAGCCACCATGCATTATGTGTTCTCTGCTACCTGATATCTCCTGTCATTCCTCCCTTGGAGGTGATGTGGATCAAGGGGAAAAACACAGACTTTACAATCCAATAGGTCAGAGTTCCATTTCTGGAATAAAAGTCAGGTCCCATGAGCAGGATTAGGATGAGGTCTGACCCGGTGGCCACGCATGCAGTCCATGCCATGATGGGGAAGGAACACAGAGACCGCACACTTGGGGCGCAGAACCAAGTGTTGGGTCACAAGGGCAGCAAAACCAAAACTGGGAAAGCAATTCAGGATGTCAGAAGCCGGGAAGATCAGGAAAAATTCAGGAAGCACAATGCAAGGCAGGTCAGGGCAAAAGGTTCACGTTGAATTCTCTGTCATGAGGGCCTTGGAGAACAGGATCCGATATTGCCAGCCAAAGGGCATGGCAGGATCAGGCCTTGGGCAGACTGTCAACCTCTCTGAGTCTGTCTCTGCATCGTGGCTAATGGAAATGGTCATTCCTGCTTCCATTTGTGGCAATGAAGACTAGGGGACATCTAACAAGTTTTCTTTCCTTAATCTTTTGTTGTTCATTTAGATTCTACCAAATCTTTTCCAACTTAGTTGAAACCCTGGCTCCTTCGTAATGTTCGTGTGTGTGTGCATGTGTGCATAGTTTCTCAACTAGAATATGAGATTGTTATGAGTAGAGAACTCTCTCAGAGTAGACTTACAATAGATCTTCAGTGAGTTATTTTGTTAAGTTGGATAGGCTAGGGCCCTCACTGGTCAAGCGTGAGGTCTATTTTGGACAGAATGATAATTGACATGAGTTTTTAACTGATAACCCAGACATGACTCTGGGTCGTTGTGTCAAAGAAACCTGGTTCTAAAAGCAAAAGAAGTTATTCTTCTGAAAGCATAAATCTCAAGGCTTGTCTGTAGAATTCTGTGGCTAATTCTGCCCACAAGCATCAAGAAGAACATTTCACAAAAAGTCCAGAGAGAGAGGGACATGAATGTCCCTCTCTACCCCAGCGGGGGCTGGGGTGGGGGACTCCGCTGCCTGGGAACAGAGGCTGCAAGGCAACAGGATGAAGATGCTATAGGAAAGCCCAGCTCAGTCACAAACACTAAGCAAAAAGACAGAGAATCCTTAAAGTTTGAAGGAGGTTGTCTTGGTGACAAATAGAAGGAAAATATTGTTTACTACGCAGGCTATAAACATATGGAGCAAATTACACTGAGGATGTCAGGGGAAATTATAAATAGATTCAAAATGGATTCAGATAAATTCATGCATACTAGACCTAATTAATAGGGTCTTAAGGGAAATTTGAGAATATTCTGTAGGCATCACTGATATTTGGAGATCAACGTCACATAGGAAAACTGCAGTACTCACCCAGCACACATCTCCCAGCACCCGAGTCAGAGATAAACTGATATGGGGGATCACTAGGCTGACATTCTGTGATTTTTATTAGGTTCTTTTCTTTTTATATCTTGGAGTCAAAAGCCTTAGAGTTGTTCTACACTGAATGAGATTAAGAGAATTTACAGAGAATGGAAGGGTAGCTTGAAAAAATGGTTTACATTTCTGGGAGAAAAGATACTTACCAGTACTAAATAATTTGTAAATACAGACAATATCCTTCATTCCAAATAACCCAGTTAAACCAATCCTGGCATTTATTCAACCTCCAAAGCAGGCCATATGGCTCCAATGTGTGCCAATGAGATGTGTATTACTACCAGCCATCAGAAGCTTATCTTGCCCTGGAGACAAGGGTAAGCCTGTGCTTTAAGCCACACTCAAGCAGAAAATGCAAGAGAGAAAGGAAGTGGGTGGAGCCTGTTGTTCCTGGACATAAAAAACAAAACAATTAATTTGTCTAGAGAAGGGAAGGGTTGCAGTGGAGAAGAGCTTTAGAGATGGTCCAAAGTGGGCCCACCTTCTCAATCTGTGGCTTAGGACAGGAGGTTGGAGGAGGGGAGATGACCAGCAGAGGACACAAGGGCAGGGGAGGTGAGGTGAGGACTCTGCTCTTCTCCTGCCTCCCGTCTAGGGCTCCCAGGACTAAACTATTTTAATGTTTATGCTGGTTAGCTTGTTTGAATCTGGAATGAAGAACTGTATATGTTGACGTCTGGAATGGAAGCTGAAATGATTCCAGGATTTTGTTGGAAATGCTAACATTAAATAAAAAGGTGTAGGTTTAAAAACGTTTCAAGAAAGTTTGGACATTCTGTCATTTGGAGCGATGCATTCAAGGAGATGTTGGAAAGCAGATGATCCATCAAGATGATGAATAATAGTACTTGCCTTGAGAACACAAAGTATTATTCTTGTCCCCTCCCCCACAAAAGAAGGCTTTCCCTTATAGGTAGAGCTTTGTCCTCTGCTCTGAATTGTTAGCCTCTTCTATTTTCATGGACAACAGAGTTCTGACCATCATAATCTTTCTCCGTTTTGCTCCAGGAGCATATGAAGGAATGTTGTATAGGATTAGTGTGTCATTTGTCACATATTTGTAAAATCTTGCATTCATGATTTAGAGGAGATAAAGTCCATTCCAACCACCTCCACTGGGAAACCCATTGCCAACTCTAACATTTTAATCTTGTTTGACCCTGACTAGCAAGAAGCATATTTTATGTCACAACCCAGAACACAGGCATACACTCACACACACAACTGAAATGCAAGTTTCGTAACATAATACTTAGCCTCACTACACAGAAGTCACTCAGATACTTTCTATTCTCCTCATTCATTTTTGGTAATGCTAGTCCATGTATTTATTACCCACAAACAGCTTGTGACCTATAGGGGGAAAACTCTTGAGTATGAGAAGAATGCATACACTCAGCTCACCCCTCACAGACGTCATATTTTCAGCCAGACCTGAGCAGCAGGTGGATCTGACAGATAATGGCATGCCCAATTTTCCCCACTG